CTGTGAGAGGAATACAATACAAAACAACCCATCACCCTATCAAGGTGGTTTCTCACCTTTCTCACAAGCTATTCAATCCTTTACAAATTAATTACCACTGATAGAGACCTGATAATCAGCACCTCATCCTGCTGAATGAATCTTTAAAAAGAAAAAAAAAAAGTTTATCTGCAATATCCACTCAAATTGCAGAACATTTACTTGACTCACATCTACTCTTTTGAGTAGAGCAATGTGAGGACTGGTGTATTTTAGAAACTTAAAAGAGATACTCTTAACTCTTTGAAGAATTAATAGGAAAAATTCTCATTCCTATGCTATTAAAATATCTCCAATTTAACTGGCTAAATAATCCAAACCCTGAAATCCAAAAAGCTTAGCATAATAACATCAGGTATTTGGCTTTCTGTAGTTACTAAAATCAGTTGTGTTTACCCCCCCGCCCCAGACTATCACCTTGGGAAACCTTTTAAACTTGGAGCGCAACCACTCTCAGTGGTCACCTATCTGCCAAAAGACAGAGTGGATCATAAAATAAATAATATCACCTGTGAGTACTGTGCTCCTCCAAACAATCATCTAAATGAGGCTAACAGTCAACATTTACCCTAAACCAAAGATAGAAGGTAAAGGAGGACAAGGAAGCTAGACTAATGGAAACAGAACAACCAGAATGGAAATAATGACCAAGCTGACACATTGTGAAAAGTGTAACCAATGTCAATGAATAATATGTGGATAAATTATTAAATGAGAATCTAATTTACCATGTGAAATTTCACCAAGAACACAGTAAAATATATTTTTTTAAAAGGAGCTGTATTCAGGGTACCTTCCTAAACAATTTATGTTTTCTTCTCTGTGTTTTGCTACTGGTTCAACTCTTCTACTCGCAAAAATAAGAATGCCCAAGCTTCCAGTTTCTGAAAATAACATCTGTATGTGCACATGAAAAAGCCTGAGAGAATTTCTTATTTATTTTAAACTTTCTTATTTAAACTAAAATGCCTTTAGCAAAGATTAAACATAAATTAGCTTTTACCTTATTGTTGTTGTTGTTATGAGCCATCAAGTCAGACTCGACTCATAGCAACCCCTCCTTGGGTTTCCAAGGCAGTATCACTACAGAAGTAGATTGACCAACCTTCCTTCTGAGGAGTGGCTAGTGGGTTTGAACTGCCAGCCTTCTGGTTAAGTGCCTTAGCCACTACGCTACCACAGCTCCTTTTACCTTATTAGGAGATTGCTATTTTCAACATTTACCTTAAACCATAACATGGATTTATCTTCTAGCCGGTTAGCTTCCTTCCTGTTCTGCCCAACTAGGTTAGACTGTAACTTTTTTTTTAAAACATCGGACTATTGGACCCCATGACCTGTTTCCCAGAAAACACATTTCAAAAACTCTGTAGGTCTCTTGTTAGCTGCTGTCCTAGCTGAGTCAGCTCCTGCCTCTGGAGACCCCATAAATGTTGCTATCTTTAAAGCCATGAAGATTTCTCTAAAATTTTAAGGCTATTTTGACAAGGACAGGTTTGTCCTTAACATCACTGAGTTCTAAAATTTGGTATCCAGCTTCTGAGACTGTCTAAGAGCCTCTCTGGGTATCCATGAGGTCAATACTGTTTTCATAAATAATACTAAGATGTTACTTGTATTGTTCACACTCATTCTCTCACAAGCATTGCAGTGGAGCTTTCCAGAAGCCTTATGACTTGTGATATCTCAACAGACTGAATACACAAGCAGATATGGGAATACAGTTAGCATCTACTAAGCTAGACAACAAGAGCTGCAAAAATGCAAAATAATGCCACTCTTTTCGTTAATTATTTTAATTTGGGAAAACATTTACATAAACTGTTATTTATGTCAACAGGTAACAGATTTATTATTGCTGTTTGCAAATGAATTACACATATATTTTTAAAATTTCTCAGTTTTAATTCCTAATATAGTATAAGGTATTATTAGATATAAGCCACACAAAAGCTCTCAAGGTTCTCAATAATTATGTTTCAGAGTATAAGTGGTCCTGAGAACAAAAAATTTGAAACCCCTACTGTACACAATCATATAACCTAACACAGTGTCTTCAATAGGTAAGAAACTCAAGTTAATTCTAAAGTATAATTACCTCGTGTTGAGGAATCTTGTTGAGTAATGTATCTCCCTGTAATTCGTAATTCAGCAAAAGTGAGTCAGCCACAGGCCCCATTTAAGGGACTTTAGATATTTAAGTATTCAGGTTCTTCTTTATGAAGATGTTCTGACATATACCACCACCTATTACTTGAACAGTGTATAAAGAGTTTCACAAAGTTTTCACAAAAATTACCTTGTTCTTCCTAACAGCAATTTGTGAAGTATTATCCATTTTTTTTTTTTACAGATGACATAATGAAACTGATACTCAAAGGAAACACAACTATTTGTCCAAAGATGTATTGCCAGCTCTTAGAGCCTAGGATGCTAGTCTTTTGCAACCTGTTTGGCTATCTTAAGGCTGTCTCACTCTGTTTAATTATAAGCTCCCAAACAAGAATCGGGAATTACTTTCATTGTCCTGGTCCCAAAATAGGGATTTTCCCTCAGTAATAAAACATAACCAGACTCAAAACTCAGTCACAACATTATTCAAAACACTACCTACGCTTTTGGTTCCCTATTAAAAAAAAAAAAAAATCCAAGCATGTTGGAGAATAAATACCAGAATATATACAATACTCCAAGATGATAAGTTAGTTAAGGACTCAGATTTACTAATCACTTAATGACTAAAACAACAGGCAGGCAAGAACAAGATCAAGCTCAATGCAGTAACACTAGATTGTATCAACAAATACATGCCAACAGGTTAAAATGGGAGGCCTACATGAAACGGGTCCAATTCACTGAGTGTGGACATAAGAAAAGACCCACACAAAGTTGAGAAACTAGCTGTATTGGTTCCACAAATCCAAGCAAGTAGACAGAACCACAGGTACAAAGCTATGTCAGAGGCAAACTTTATTGCAAGATGGAAAGAAGCCATAGTAATTCTTAGACAGGAATTACCCCCTTTTTTAGGGCTAAACACACTGCTTTGTTCCCCTTATCAGAGAAGTCTTTCAGTTATGCTCCATTTTAACTTATTAAGTTCCTCAAAAGATGCTCAATTTTCTGCATCTCTTCTCCACAGCCAAGTGGACTCCCTAACTGGTGGCGGCAAGACTGACTGTCCAACAGGATACTGGCCATTTGCTTATTTCTTTTCCTTTTTTAGGTGCAGGTGCCCAGTGAAGCCATGTTTGAGTCTGATGTGATTTTTACCTAGAAAAAAACCGGGTAACTGTTCACTTTGTATTTCTATAGTTTACTACCAATCAGCAAGAGTAATTTTATTACTCCTCATAAAGGATGCATTCATAGTATTTATTTGGTCATTTCCCCAAAAATCCTCTTATTTGGAAAAAGCAAATTAAAAGTTACAATTATAGTACCACAGCCATATAGCTACAGTTAATGCAACACCAACCAACCTGTGAAACAATTTTATATACCTTATTCGTTGCTCCACAGTCAACCATCCACTGTTGAAGATATATTAATACGTAAAAACTAATTACACAAATTTCTGAACCCTCACAAAGAACTGCAATACTGCACTGTAAAACCCAGTAACCAGTTAATCTTTAAAAGCTTCATGCAGAAAAAACTACCTGGTTTTACACAGGCAAGAAAAAGCACCAAACCTCTGTAACTCCAGAAAACTGGAGTTATTTCTATTCCTGATCCTAGAGTACATTCTTTGTGCCGCTGTTTTCCTCGTAGGACATAATCATGATTTAGGAAACAACCTGTCAAAAGTAGGGAATTCTCTAAACTCTGGCCACAATGAGAAATGTCACACGGCTAAATTGTATCATTGCTGCTTTTATCGATTTATTCAAAGGACCTTAAAATTTTTGAAATGCACAATTCAAATTTTACACTACCAACTCAAGCTACCATTGATCATCTCAAAGCTAATAAACAAAGACTAGCTGCCGCACCAGGGCCCTACCAGGAAGTAATCAAAGCAGTGTGGCCGGCGCGATCCCAAGAAGTCGCTAGAGAAGACAATGAGAAGGCACTGGGGTTTCCAAAAAGACTGGCAGGAGTTAAAATGCTTAAGCTACACAAGCAAAAGCATTACATAAACCTAATAACTGTTATACCGTACATGAACCCGGGACTCCCACAACAATTTCAGACAACCCAAAAGATCGAAAAGCCAAACTCCGACCGCTTCTCCAAAGCAGCTGTTGGCTCAACCTCCTGAGCTTTTCAGCCCGCAGCCTGTTTTCAAACTTCACCCTCCCTGGCTGATGAAACCCTTCGACCTCCGCCGCCCGAGCTTCCGAGCGCCTCTCCAGGCTCCGGGTCCCCGCCCGGCGTGAAAACGGTTGCCCGAGCCTACAGAAAAGGGAAAGGAAGCCGGGCCCCGGCAGGCGGCGAAGAACGGCCCCAGGCGCCCCGCAGCCCAGACAAAGCTGCGCCCAGGGAGCGGCGTTTTCTTCTGCCGGTTCTGAGGAGGGGACGCCAACTCCGGCCCAACCACACGTGCAGCCGCCGCGCGGGGGCCGGACACGCGTTCCCCACAGCCCCGGACCCCGCGACATTACCGAGCATAGCCCCTGGGCAGGCCGGGCGGGGCGGGGGACGCGCGAGTCACTGGCCAGGTTCCCCCACCCACCAGAGCGCCCCTACGTTTAAGGACCCCGTGAGCTCCCGCCCCTCACGCCTCTCCTTCGCCGCCCGGACCGTCGGGCCGCGGGAAACAAAGGAGCCGCCGTCGCCGCCGCTCCGCCCGCCACTCCTGCCCGCCTTACCGCGTACCCCCTCCCCAGCCCTCCGGGCCCGGCTAGCCCTAACCCCTCTCAGAGTCCACGCGCCGGCCGCTCGCGGCCCCTAGACGGCAGGCCCAGCAGAGCCGGGGCCTCGGGTGCGCGGCCGCGCCGGCCTGGAGCCGCACTCACCGCTGCAGCACCAGGACGACGGGGAGCCGTTGGGGAACTTGGCTGAGTCCGGAGCAATGCAGACACTGGAGCTAAGGTGCGGACACTCCATGGCCACGAGGATGGCAGCGGAGAGGACCGAGGCTCGGGCACTGGGCGAGGTGGGGGCAGAGGGACTCCGGAGGCTCCGTCTGGGGTCGCTCTTCGCCGGGCGCTCCGCCGACGGCGGCTGCGTCTGGAGACCTTGCGTCAAAGAAAGCAAGGGTTTCCGGGCGCCGGGTTTTCCCGCCCGCCTTTTCCCGAAGCCCCGTTCCGGAGAATGTGGGAATCCTAGATCCGGGTTCTGCCGCCACCCCTAGGCTGGGGCTTCCGCCTTCCCAGGCCAGCCCCGCCCCGAGTCTGGGCCGCCCCCGCCCCCAGGCCGAGTCCAGTCCTCGTCGGCTGGAGCCGAGTGAGGTGCAGGCGTGCGCTAGTTGGTAGCCTACAGTAGGGCAGCTCTCGGAAATAACTTTCCCAACTCCGCGGCCCCGAACGTTTGGTGTTTCCCCTCGTCCTGGGAAAGGTGGGGCGCCAAACCGCGGCACGGCGCTGGTTTCGTCCGGTCGGTTGAGTTTATCGCTGCCTAGCGAGCACTCTTAAGCAGAAGGGACTGACCCTGCATGATGTATGGGAGACTGACTACGCCGACACACTTTGTGGTAGAAAAATCTGGACAGAAAAGTGAGAAGAAAATAAAAACCACGAGGGAAGACGTCGCTTTAGCCCCCATTTTACACACGAAGAAAGACACTCAGGTTAAGGGCCTCACCCCGAGCGGCCCAGCCGACTGCGTTAAGGCTCAGAGCAGTCCTGACTTAGTGCTTGGCTCCCGGGTGCAGGTGCGATACTGGTCCTGCTCTAGGTTCTGAACACGTGGCTTTAGTCAGCGATCTGGATGCTGAGTGGCTGAGCCCAAAGTTGCGCCTATGATTTGGGTTCAAATCCTGTCTCTGTGACTCATTATTTCGAGCGCGTGGTCAGACACATTCTTCACTGCTAGGAGTTTAAGGGAAATAAACGGGACCTGGGTTAGCTGAGCGCCAAGTGCTCATTATCAAGTGATAAAAACAGAAGGGCTCTAACATTTGTTAAACACCCATCTATCAGCCAGGGACTTTACATACAAAACCTCATTTAAGCCTTGAAACACCCTGCCTGCCCCTTTCTACCGCTGGGAAAACCGAGTCTGTAACTTGCTAATCAGTATCTGGATTGGCTCTCCGCTGACTTCTCTTTGGAAAGTGGCTGAAGCGAAAGGCGAAGCCTCCAAGGGCCATTTGATCAGGCGTTATACCCTAGAGAGCTAAAGGTCTCTCTGGTGCATAGCTTTGAGAGCGTCTGGGGACCATTGCAAATAGTCTCAAAATTGGGGCTCCTTGTGAAACCCGGCGAAGGAGCAGCAGGGCTAGGAGGCGAATAGAGGGGAGGGAGGAGGCCGATGTGGCAATTTTGCCAGCTGGCTAAGAGGAGGAAGGAAGGTCAGGAAATGATTAACTGGACTGGGTAGTGGTTAGAGCTGGGCAGCTCTCGAGAGTGCTGTCCTGGAACTCCAGGACGTCCCTTCGGTCACTTCTCGAGCCCCTCCACTCTGCTCCCCCTGCCATGACTTGGTTTCTTATTCCTCAGCCTAATGGTGTCCACCCACCTGGGGGCTACTCTGGCCGACCCGTTTCCCCAGGAAAAGGTCCTCTGTCGTTTTCCAAGTTTAGATTGCTGTTAGAGCCTCGGTCCTCAGATTTTACGGCAGTGAGGAATCGTGGAACGTGCACCTACCTGCTTTGGAAGCCAGGCAAGCGTGGATTCAAATCCTCGCTCTGCTGCCTACTTGATGGCTAACCCTAGCGACTGTTTTTAGTCCTCCCAAGACTTTTTCTTCATCCGTAAAACAGGAAAAAAATCATACTGATCTCACAAGGAAGATGTTAGAATTCATGAGAATTGCCCACACGGTGTAGGTAGCCAATAAATTACAGGGTGGTGGTGTTTAATGACATAGGGTGAGGACATTAGTTTCCTGGGAAGGGAGAGGATAAACAGACTCTTCCACAACTCTTCCTCCTATCCATGATTATTTTTGTAAGGCCTGGCTTGAGCCAGCCCTCCATTGGCCATGGAGCATCCCTGACTAGCGTCTTTCATGCTGGTATGTAATGTTTCCTTTTCACCCTCTCAGAGATTCAGTTTCCTTACACTCTAGATCTCAGCTTAAAAATCACATCCTCAGAGAGGCCTTTCCTGACCCTGTTCCACTCCCAGCTTACCTCCCAGTCTGTGACCCCTACCTTTTTAAAAACACTCTAAATGCATGTCATTATCTGTTTAATGTCTTTCTTCCTCTTGCAGGTCCATACAGGCAGGAAACAAGAGTGTCTGATTTCCTGCTCTTTTCCTAAACTAACACATAGAACATGGAGGATGTACAATAAATAAGTGTTCAATAGATGAATGAATGGATGAGTGAGTGACTGATCAACAGTATCTACCCTGTTCAGGAGCTTAGAAAGTGACCAATATATGCCAAGTATTTGCTCCCATGTTGATAATCTCTAAATTTCTTTTCAGCTGAGTTTATGCTTTTAATGGGAATATGAGTGTAAAAGCACCTAGGAAGGTGTAAAGTGTTTTTTTAGTTTTTATTAGTGCCTTCTCCCCAACTAGAATGAAAATTTCTCTGATCAGGAGACCTGATTTGGTTATTCTCTAAGTCCCTGAGAGATCAAAATACGGTCATCAGAGAGTTGGAAAAAATCAGAGAGGCCATCCTGGGGCTTTCGCTAGACTTCCCTAAAACACAGCGAACGTTCCTGTGCCTTTGAAAGTTTTTATAATTTGAAAAAGAAGAAAGGGAAACCGCCGTGAGTAAGTGTCAAACAGGGGAAGGCCACAGGGCACGCTGGGAAATGTTTCAGTCTTTCGTTTCTTCAGCTGCATTTAATACCATGTTTGCTTTCTTGTTCTTGGCCCTCATCCTTTTGGCACTGAGGAACTCTGACATACCAGTGCCCTGGTGATGATGCGCCAGCCTCTTGCTCCAGCGCGAGGGGACGCCGCCGGGTTTCCCCTCCCAGTCCTCTGCGCATAAGGCTGGCAGCACCGCGAGGTCGGAGAAAGCAGGCTTGGGCGGTGGCAATGTGCTCTAGGTTTAAACCTGCTGGCCGCGGGCGTGTTTTAAAAGGTGGTATTTATTTATTTTCAATTTGCAGATATTTATTTATTTATTAGCAAATATTTATGGAGTGCCTATTACGTACCACATTCTGCCTTAGGTACTGGGGATATAATAGCGAACAGAACAGTAAAACATCTCTGACCTCATGAAGCTTTCGTGAGAAGGAGAGATGTTGTTGTTAGGTGCCATCAAGTGGGCTCTGACTCATAAGGACTCTATATACAAAAGAACGAAACACTGCCTGGTCGTGCACCATCCTCACAATCCTTGCTATAGTGGAACCCATCATTGCAGCCACTGTGTCAATCCATCTTGTTGAGGGTCTTCCCCTTTTTTTGCTGACCCTCCACTTTACCAAGCTTTTCCATTTAATAGATTATGAAATGGGAATGGTCCCTTCTGACAATATGACCAAAGTAGGTGAGAGGAAGTCTGGCCATTCTCACTTCTAAGGAGCATTCTGCTGCACTTCTTCCAGGGCAGATTTGTTCGTTGTTCTTCTGGCAGTCCATGGTACTTTCAGCATTCTTTGCCAAACCAAAATTCAGATACCTTAATTCTTCTCCAGTCTTCAAAACGTGGTATATTTCAGAGGAGGAATGTACAATTTAAAAAAAAAAAATTGTTTTGTTGCTGAAAATATACACAGAACATACACCAATTCAACAATTTCTACATGTACAATTCAGTGACATTGATTACATTCTTCAAGTTGTGCAACCATTTTCACTCTCCTTGCCCTTTAGCATAATCTCACTGCCCCCTAAGCTTCTTATGTAACCTTTAGTGCCTAAGGCACTTGACCGCTCACCAGAAGGCTGGTGGTTCAAACCCACCAGCTACTCCTCGGAAGGAAGGTTGGGCAATCCTACTTCCGTAGTGATACGGCCTTGGAAACCCAAGGAGGGGTCGCTATGAGTCGGGGCCGACTCGACGGCAAACAACAACAACAACAACATTGTCAATTTGATTCCATTAAAAAAAAAGAAAGAAAGAAAGCCAAACTCACTGCCTTCGAGTGGAGATCCGACTCATAGCAACCCCCCTTGGACTCATAGCGACCCCCCCTTGGGTTTCCGGACGCGGTATTACTCCGGAAGTAGATTGCCCAACCTTCCTTCCGAGGAGTGGCTGGTAGCTTTGAACTATCAGCCTTCTGGTTAGCAGTCAAGTGCCTTAGGCACCATGCCACCAGAGCTCCTTTGATGCCATATAGAGTTCTTTACAAGAGCGTAGTGCTCACGGCAAACAAGAAGGCACAATTTCAGTCACACTATCTTTAATACTAGTATTCCTGTGTATACACACATATGCATATATATTTGAAGGGGGAAGTGGGGAAAGCCATACATTGTCATGGGGATCATGATCAGGAAGTCTCAAGGTTCCTGCAACTTTCCTGTAGCCTTAACCTTGAGAATTCTCATAAAATTGATAGTCCTTAAAACTGACCAAGCCTTGGAGAAAACTAGCTTTGAGTACCTGCTCCCCCACCCCAAGGCTTATTGGAAACACCTAGAGAGCTGGTTTAATTATTTACCCTAGAAATTTTTCTAGGAGCGAAGCCTCCTTTGGAAACTAGAGTTAGATCAACAGGAGGTTTGGTGAGTATTCACAAGTGTTGGCTAGAGGAGGGGGAGTGAGGGAAGCTGCCACTTAGGGATTCTATCACCTCATTTGATTTTCACAGCAGCACTTACCTGATGTCTCCTTGCTTGTTTACTTATTTGTCAGTCTCCTCCATGAGAACAAAGACCTTTCCAGTCCTATTCATTGCCTGATTTTACAGGCCCTGAGTATTTGTTGAATAACTTAATAGATGATGATGAGAGTGGACTTCATCCATCTAGTCCTCTCTTCCCCACCCAGGAATGCTGGCAGTCATTCTCCCCAATTTTTTTTTTTTTTTTTCCTACGCACCCATTTAGCATAGTCTCCTTACCCAGTGCTCCTCAGTGGCATTACAGCTCTGGCAGAATAAAATAGAAGCCCATTGCCTTGCACAGATGACCTGTCACAACCATCTA